AGTTTGAGGAGTTGGCACACTTGTTCTGTGGAAAGTGTGGTTCTGCTGCTGAGAGTGGCGTCTGATTTTAATCTTGCACAGACCACATCCACTGCCTGTTGATAAGGCAGTGGATGTGGTTTATTACTTTATTTGTGCCAAGGAACTGGATTTTTTGGGTGATCCAGTCATGGTCATAATGTGCTTTTGGGTTTGAAATCCATGATCGGGACATTATGCTGAAGAAGTTTCTCGGAGAAGAAACAAAACATTTTAACAAAGAAGAACCTGTCCATAGGACCTACTTAACTTTGTTTAGATATACAGTATGCTTTAGTCTTTTTCAGTGGTGGGCACAGTTCCCCTAAAGCACTAATAAGGGAACTAATTTTCTTATTAGTGCTTTAGGGCTTTTGCAAATTTTAAAATTTATTAGTGGATTAGCACTTGCTAAATTTAGAAGCACTGACTGAGGTGTTATAAACATTAATGTTAACAACTGACGGTGAAAGCTGTTGCATATTTTGTTTATGTATGCCACTTATTTACTAGGTGACAACAAATGAACCCAAATACAGCTGTGGAATTTCAATGAAGTCTTAAGAGAGCAGTATGGCAATATGTGCCATGTTGTCTGTTGAAGAATGTCCATGGGTTGACTGGGTTATTTTAGTGCCTTAGAATTAGCTTTTGCCAAAATTTTCAGTGTGTTAGTGCTTTAGAATTAGGGGACCTAAATATTTGGGTTAGTGTTTTAGGGCTAGTGGTGCTGCCCACCACTGGTCTTTATACAAAAAAAAAAAAAAAAAAAAAAAAAAACTTAAGAAACAAAACAACATATTCATTCACTTCTGTAAATTCTTCAACTGGTGTGTATGACTAGAAAAATAAAAATGTGGATTCCCTCTCTTAACCCTGGGGTGAAACTTATGGCTATAAAATCTAGTGTGGAAGGTTTAAGCGCAGAAGTGGGCAGCCTGACCATGTCATTTTTCTGCCATTGTTAGTCTCAAGTAGTCACCCAGCAGCTCTTTCAGGTAACAACTGCCCGACTTATTGCAGTCTCCTCTTACAATAACTCTTTTATTACAAATTATAAATACATTTTCAGAATAAAGCAACATTGTGTTTTCTACAGGGCTTCCCATCCTTCTCTGTTTCTTGGGCTGAGAATAGAGAGGATTAGGAAACAGGGACTTGCTGGATTAATGGAGGATTTGGGTAAATTAGGAATTCTTTATTTCTTACAATCCCTCACACTGACGATTTACCTTTTCCTTTTCACAGCTAGCAAGCTATAGTGTGGTTAATGACCGCCACTCAGTGTGACCTGAACCTGGATCAGGATTAGAAGATAAATAGAAGATTTATCATTCCATAACCTTTTTTGCTACATCACAGTGTCAAGGGTAAGGTAGGGTGTCATCTCTCTAGGGTTATGACCTGACACACATGGTCCCTTCTGGTGAAAAACACATTGGTGGTCTGATATTCCTCACTGACAGGTTTGAAGTTCAAGGAAACACATTTTCCTTCCCTAGAGCCATGAAAGCTGCATGCAATCAGTCTCGCTAAAAAAGACAGAAATGAGGAACAAGAGATTGATGGCAGCTTTAATAATCTGGCCTTGCAAGACAGCTAGGTCCTTTTTTTGTCACACATAATATCTTGTAGTATTTACATATAAAAGCTGAGCGTGGGCTGTGATTCACAACAAGAAATTGTGGGAAAAAGATTATTTAAATGCAACTCAGCTACACAAAGAACCTGTACTAGATGGTTGTCAGAGCTGGACAACGACTCAACACATCAAAGCTTGTTGTTGAAAAAGGAAAACAAAAAATCTGATTTAGGATTCACTAATTACTGTATCTGTTAGTGGCATTAGTGAATCATAAAACCTGTTTTTATTGTCCTGGTCCTGCTTGTTTATGTGTTTTCTTTTTTAAGAAATCCACTAATTTATATAAATTTTTTAAATTTTGCCAAAATTGATCCAAAAAAAAATCAGATAGAAGGTTCCAAATGAATGATTTTGGACCAAATATTACTAAAAAAAAAAGTATCTAAATCACACATAAATCGCTTTACTTTGTACTCCTGTTTGTGTGATTTGGATACTTATTTGAAACCCGATAGTATTTTATTATTGAACTAGCAAAGCTATTAAACTCATTAGGTCAGGAATGTGTTCTCAGGTGAGAATACATGTTTTTACAGCTCTGATCCTGAGAAAGTTAATTTAAAAAAATTATTCGTTATTTTAATTTAAAACACAAGTGAACCAGGCACTTGTAATACTTTTATAGTGTCAAAGGTAGTTTCTGCAACTTATGGTTGTTTCCTTAAAATTAAACATCTATAATTCGAGTTCATCACTAATGTCCCTATTGTGTTTCATTGATGCAGATACTAATGTACCATGAAGGCAACTGCTGCCGTGTTATCAATAAAACATACAGTTCCTGTCTGCCAGAGAGCCTCTCCAGTCCACTGTGGATCAATAAAGCCACCAAATATAGAAGTATAGATTACACTGGGCCACAAGTAATGGTAATCACAAAGGAAGATTAATTGCCAACAAACAGCACCTTGTGGTCTGCTTGCTCCAAGGTGAAATGTTGCAGCCTATTTTACCTACTTGAAATTTTAAATACTTGATTATCTAGAAAGATAAGCAGATTATTTTTTATTAACAGCAAATTCTGTTTGTATTATAAAGAGAAGTAGCATTATGCAGCGTACCATTCAACCGTAGGCTGTGAAAATGGATTCAAATGCCACAAGTAATTTGGGTTGTCAAACGTATTTATCATTTCCTTTTAATTTGAAAGTCTCCTCTTCATTGCTTCATTGGAATATTTAGCTACAGAATTGGGCGTTATGTGTAATGAACTTGTCACTGAAAATTACTGTCACAGACTCCATTTTCTGACTTTATTGTGCTTAGCAGGAAAAGTGAACCCCAGATGAGCTGTCATTGCCCTGGAATATTTACTTAAAATCTGACGGGCAGATGGGAACAAGGTGTGGGGATGGTTTTAAACAGATCTTCCTATATTGACTTAAAGCCTTGCAATAAAAACATGAAGTTATTTTGATTTTTTTTCTTTGAGTTTACAGAAAAACAAAACACATGACAAAATTAAAACTTAAAATTACTTTATTTTGCATTCATTATAGCAAATTATACTTATGGAGGCCATGCTGTGCCTTATTAAACTATAGTGCCATTTATTATTAGACACAGAACTGTAACATGGAGGTTGAGGCCAAAACGTGCCGACTGTAGGCTGGCTGATGTATGAGTTGAGATGTGTGTATTCTGATCCTGTTTGAAGGGTCTTTGTGTTTTAGATCAGTTTTTATCAATTTTTTTTGGTCATTGTGTTTTCTGAATCTAGTTGTTCAAGATTTATTTTACTAGTGTTTACTGAATCTGGTTTTGAGTTTTATTCAACATCTTAAGTTTAGTTTCTCTAAATTTAAATCTGCATCAGATTTATGTTCCCCTTGTGTTTTCAGCCACAGACTTGTTTTTCTTTTTTAGGATTATCTGTCTGTCTGAAAACTAAACTAAGTAAATGTATATTTAATAGACGTTTGTCTTTAACTACCTGAACAACCATAACCAAAAACCTCTGGTTTCAGCTGAAACTCATAATTTAAAATCTGACTAATCTGCAAGATGACTTAACTTTAAGTTCTGTTAGTAAAATGCTTCATAAAATTCTCATGTACGTAGGGCATAATGCTCTTGAGGAGACAAAAAAAATCTGATATTGTTTTCTTCTTTTCTTCATTTGTGCCACACAGAGAGCACTGCAGAACCTATTTGTCATCTCTTTTAATACCTAGACAGCAGCTTTTTTTTTTTTTTTTTGTCTGGCTCCACACATGTAGCTCCTGTAGTTACAAACATGTGACACATGTGGAGCCTGCTCTGAAACAAATGAACAGGAGCTTCAGTTGAATGAGAACATCAATTCTCTGAGCCTGACGGCAGGAAGGAGCAGGTGGGGCCCACAAATCTCAGAGTATCTGCTATAATTCACTGCGTGTGTGTGTGTGTGTGTGTGTGTGTGTGTGTGCATAAACACAACTATGGTGAAGCAGGACTTCACTGCATTTGCTCAAAAAATATTGACCAGGATAGTTGCACTATTTATACAGAATTCTGTGCAAGTGATGTAACATGGTGCTTTTTCACCATGCTGTTGTTTTTCTGATTTTTTTCCCTCTTTTATTTTGTATTGTTTTGTACCTGCTGCTCTGATTTCTGTACTGTCCAGTTCCTGCCATGACAACCTAAATTTACCACCTGTGGGACTAATAAAGGATAATCTTTTCTTATAAAGCTTATATACATTAAAATAATAAAAAACTTTCACATCAGCACCTGAACTGTTTTAAGATTGTAAAAATCCACTATGGTCTTTGCTTTGCTGTTGCAAGTCCACCAAAAAGCCACATAACACAAGCAGGTTTACAGATATTGAGTCAAAATTCAGGGTGGTAGTAGCTGAGCCTCATCCTCAACACATACTCAAGCACTAACACATTTAATTAAATCTTACAATAATATCATAAGGATGATCTTTATTTAAAACTCTTGCATGAAAGGCACCCATATGTGTTCCTTTAAGAATATGTCTTTAATTAATTAAGAGTCATCTAAACTAAAGTTTGATGTTAAAAGCTGAAACATTGGATTAAATGTAAACAAATGACACAAACAACTCAGACACACAGCTTGTTTAACTAAAAAATGCCAACAAGTCCAAAGTGGTAAGACCCCTAATGTCCTAGAGGTCATAAATATTGTGTGTGGCACGTTAACAGCTGTGTCTGTAACAAGACAAATAAAACTATCCAGAGCATGGACCAGACCCCAGCTTGGCTATAAAGCTTAAGTAAACACATCTTAGTCATTCTAAAGCCCCAAATCCACTTTTAGTTTAGTTGGGAAAAGTGCCAAATACTACACTGTAACTATCCAGGTATACACAAGCTGGAAAAAAAAGCTGGCAATGATAGAAACAAGTTGGCAGAAGGCGCCACTCCAAGAAAATCCTGCCAGAGGAGCTGACGGACCCTCTCACCCGACATATTTTACCTTTATAAGGAAAACTCCAGCTCCTTTTTTCCTTCTGCCTCAATTATATGAATTTATTGGTCTTAGGCAGTAAAACGCAGTGAAGTATGGCAACAATAAAGGTGAGCAAGAGGGGAGGCATCATTTACAACATTTCTCCTTCCCTTGTGAACAAATCTTCCCCGTGTTTTCCTTTTAAAGTCCCATTGTTGTTCTGCCTCTCAGCTCAGCGGCACATGGATGCACCGTTTGGAAGGAAATCGTTTGAGTCACCTTGAAGACGCATCATAAATTAGGTTGTGGGACTTTATGTCACCGATGCCTTACGGAAGTAACAGCTTTGGGCAAGTGAAAAGGATAAATAAAGTGGGTGCACTTTTAAATGCTGCAGTTTCTATTAACCCTTCCAATGGCACAAATCAAAATTGTGTCATTTTTTTTTTCCTTTTCTTGGCCATTTTTTGTACTACAATGACAGTACTTTGTGAAAATTAAACAGACCACCTTTTCACAAGCAATTCAACACTTCTGTGCTAAGTTTGTGCTTTAGTTTTATGTGCACATCTTAGTTTTGTGTGTTGAAAATTCACCTATTGCCCATGTTTATATTATTGAAACAACACTGGACCAGAAACTCCCAAAGATTTCAAACTCTACATGATTTAAAAGCCTAGAATTCCTTGAGGCAATGTTGTGCTTTAAACAAAGATCATCTTAACTTTAAAAAAAGTTATGCACATGCTAAACTTTAGCTCAAAATTTGTACAAATTATTGAGGTATAGCCATTTCTGTGGTGGCTAAGGTCGACTAGCTTTGGCAACCATTTTGAACTGGGTTATCTCCACAAGTAAGTCAAAGATGTATACAGCAATGATGACTTTCTGAGAATTTTATTGTAGTTCATCCAGTTAATGCCAAAGTTTGAAGCAAAGGTGAGACACAATGTGTTTTACTCAAACATACGTTGAAGGTCTTCTACGACATGAAATAAAAAAAAATCCTCAAAAACATCATCCATCCATTATTTTTTACAATCTTCTTCCTTTCAGGATCACTGATGTCCATGTACTGCAGTCACAGAATGAGGGGCGGGGTATACCCTAGACAGGTCACAAGTCCATCACAGGGTGAGAGACAAACAAGACAAACAACCATTCACTCACTCATTCACACCTAGGGACAATTTAGAGTTACCAATTAACCTAACAGTCATGTTTTTGGTCTTTGGGAGGAAACAGGAGTACTCAGAAAACCCAACAGAAAGAACACGCAAACTCTACCCAGAAAAGTTCCCAGTCAGGATTCCATCCAGCAACCTTTTTACTGAATTGTAACAGCTCTGCCAACTGAGCCACAGTGCCACTCTAAAACATAATTTGCATGTGAATGGCAGGTTGTTTTAAAAATATCATGAGTACTGTGAACAGGTTTCAAAAGTTGTCAAAATGATGCACACATTATTTCCATAATTATACAGTATGTCTATATTTTTTTATTTCACTGTCCATTGGCGTTAGTTGGTGTTTAGTTAGGGTTGCTTTGATTTAATAGTATTTTTAAAGAAATGGAAGCATTATGAATAAAGCTACTAAAAAAACAGCATTTATAAACCGAGTGACATTCTCACCTGGCAGGTCAGAGAAGAGCAGGATACATTCATTGAAGCCATTAGCCAAGAGACGGTCTCTGAGTTGCTGCAATATGGCGACCCCGATACAAAAAGGAAACGAAGAGTTGCCCAGCAGCAACGTGTCCCACAGGTGGAAGATTTTGTGCAGAGGGAAAACATCTGCATGGAAGAGAGACAAACAGACACGATTAAATAATGTGTTATTAAATAAATAAATGAATGGTAAAAAATAATAATAAAAATACCACCAAAATGTGCACAATGGGATGCAGCATGTGTGACAATAGAATGCAGCTTGCACACAATGAGATATGCATTATCATTTTGGAAACAAAAACAACGATTTGCATTTTGTGCCCAGCACATTTACTGAATAAAGCTGAATAGAATAAAATCAGATGCCCAAAAGGCAAAACTGAGTGTTGGCACGATTGTCTGGAAGGTAATTTAAAGTGGGAGGCTGCTGGGAAAACATTTTCAGGTGGGTGGTGAGGTAGAAACACAACAGACAGAACATCAGTGAACTGTGGGGCTTTAAAAAAATAAAAATAAAAAAACCTTAGAAGCCGATTTCAAACAAACCAAAACTGAATCCTAATAACATGTCCTACTGCCATTATCTCAATCACATTGCCTTCATTGGCCATGGATGTCCTCCCTTGGCTGACATGCTGGCACATAACCCAGAGCTGTGTTTCTCTTCAGATGTAAACTCAGCAGTAGATGTTTGTGAAGGCAGAATGCCACAGCGGTGGGCTGAGAGAATGGCTCAGAGGGTCTCCAATACATAAAGGCTGGTGTGTGAGTGTCAGCTAGTCTGTGTGGGGATGGAAGATCGACCTCAAACCCTATTTCAAATCAAATGGAGGACATCAGCAGTGAGGACAAACCTGAATACTTGACTTATAGGATGCATCAGTGGAAAGAAGATGGATAGAAGGATGGCTGGTCTCTGAAAGTGTGTCTGTGTGATTAATTGAAGAGAAACGTATTGTAGAGCCAAGCGTGGGGTTCAGATACAGTAGATAATTGCATCGAGTGTAATGGGACAAATGTGGCTCGATTAGGTGTCTGTAAGAATCTTCACACTGATACTTTTCTGTTTGAATTATCACCGTAGAAATAAAGACACCACAGTTATTCATTTGTTCTGTGTGATATGACTGCCTATAAGCCGGATCATATCCTGGATAACTTTTATTCATATTCTTATTTTGTTTCAAGTTAATATAACTGTATTTAAGGGATCAATGCATTTAAAAAGATAAAAGCAGAATGCTGCAATACTGACAAACTGCAAATCAAGTGTACACACACACACACACCCTTACAGTATATATAAAAAACAAAGGATATATGCATAGGGGTCTAAATAATAATTTAAAAAAAAACAGAAATCTGGAAATATCGACATCAGTTTGAACAATATTTATTCACTGAGAGCCCAGAGTTGGAAACAATTTGTTTAGATTTAGATGTTGAACATGTTAGTTCTAGACTAACAGTCTTGACTTCACAAACACATACTCAAGAGCCAAATCAAATACATAAAACTCAATAACTTTCAGCAAATATGATCAAGTATTCTGAGACAAAGTGGTTCTGTATTACTGCTAGAAGAATTCTGTAAATGTGAAATGTAATGGGTAAATAATTAACTAGTGAAAAGTAACATATCTTCCCACGAACACCCTGTAATATCCTGCTGTCTAGTGAAAACCTCAGAAGAAGCAGTGCTAACTGGATCAGCCCCCTTTACCTGTTAGAGTAAGGACATTAAACATCATTTTTATACGTGTATGATAATAAATGTATTCAATGTTTTCTGTGTAAAATAGTTCAATCATATCTGTCAGTTACTTGTCTTTATTACATGATGATGTAAACATAATCAAGGAGTTGGTGCGTACTATTCTGCATAAAAACTTCTGTCCTTTTCTAAATAACCCATGCTATAACCAGACTATTGCTTTAAAGCAGAGACAAAAGAAAAAAAAAGATACTTACGGGTAAACATCGTTAGGAACCAGGGAATAGCATAAAGCTGTGAGGAAAAAAGAAAACAAAAGACAAAAGGGGGTTATACTAAATATTTTGTCTGAGGTTTCAAATGTGAAGAAAAGACTCAGAGTTCAAATAACTTCAGTGATTAATTAACTGGTTTTTAAGTGAAAAGATTTTGGTGTTCGATAGAAGCAGCACACATGGCTGCAGATGTCTACAGATGGAGAAAAACAAAGGCAGCATTACAGAGCAGTTGGCTGAATTAATCCACCAAAAAATAAATAAATTAAGTATGAAAGTCACTGCGTCAGTCATATTGTGCCTTCATCCTACTCATTTTATGCCTTTGAAAATTAAAAAAAAAAACATCCAATATTCCAGCATTACCCAACTGTGTTTCTGTACTATTCAACAGCCAAAGGTCTGGAATAGGGAAAGCTGCAGCTTATCTCATAAACTTAATAGACAGCTAATTGCGAGGGAGCTGGTGACTGTACAGTGGACCTCTCGTGTTCCCAACAGAGATGAGCTAAAGAGGCTTTTTGCTCCCAGTCCCAATAGCTCAGCAGCAGCACAGCCCGTGCAGCCAGATTGCATTAATGTAAGTGCAAACAGCAGCACTTGGAGAGGAGATGAGGCCAAATTTAAAGTGACCTGAGTTAAACCGGTGGCTACATGTAATTGGAGTCACTGCTGGTTGCTTTTACTAGAAAAGAGACCATTAATGCTGCAGTACTCGGACAGATTGACTCGCAGCTGTACGATTGCAAAAAATAAGGCTGCACTTTGGTGTGCAGTCGTGATGCAGAGATATTTCTGTTTTGGAGGGGAGGCAGATGAATTTCTTGTCAAAGGGAACCAAAAGTTCACTGCGTTCACTGAAGCTCACAAAGAAGAGGGGATTTATTGTATGTATGGTCAAATTACTCGAAATGGAAAAAAAAAAGCTGTATCAACAGAGTTTGTTTTTCCTTTATTATCCTGACCTAACAACAAAAACAAGCAGTGCTCTTTGAAAGGCAAGTCAGTGCTGGAAGTATTTACAGATGGGATAAGTTTCAAGCCATCAAAATAAAATCCTGCAACATACTTGTGAAGCAAAAATATGATCTGTTCAAGATAAAAGAAAAAATAATCTTTATTCAAATTGAATTAAAGCAAAACTTTAGGGAATGCATATTGCTCAGCAGCTTTCATGCCACAGCTTTAAGAAGAAACAGAGTTATAACTATTTTGGTCAAACCTTGGAAAATACATTTTGCTCAACTCGTGCAATATTATACATGTCAAAAGGCGCGCAGCTATTACCATATCACACTTTACCTTAATCCGCATAATTTTGAGCTGTAGCCACTTTCTATTTGCTAATGTTGATTAGCTACGACATATTTCTTGCATTGAGGTGACACCAAATATTAATCTGTGGTAAATGTACAACCAAAGATTACATTCATATCCAGTGGTTCAACGGTTTTTGCACACAGTGTTGACATCAACAGTTACTGCCCAAGTTTTAAACCAATACTTTGAGTTATGTGTTGAATTATTCTCATCTACTACCACACCATACACCATGTGGTGGAAATATATTATATAATCCTGCCTAACTGCTAAGTTCTCATTACCTTGACATGTTCTGTTCTGTATCTCTGATAACTGCCACATTTGTATAATCTGTTCGCATGATTCTTAAAGACACCATCTGATGTCTATAGACCTTGTGCTCATTTCATATTGCAGGTGTAACTTGTAATTCTTTCATTGGTCATTTGATATCGTTCTACCATTTGTGATGCTCTTATTTGTTCTTACGGACCACGCCCGGAAGTATAAATTGCATTTCCTGTTGGTTGCTAACTCAATGATGGCTTGACAAAGCCATTGATCTCTCTGTCCGGTTGCCACTCTGCATAATGGAAACCTTATTAAATCATTTGATGACCAAACCACGTAGTGCACCAGTTTTTTATTCACGTGTTTCTGCCTTTAAGTGGAATATTTCCACAACAGATTTGGCGTCACGAACAGGATAACACACCATAAAAGAGAAGTGGTTCTCAAACAGTTTACCTGGATAAATAAATGTTAAATAAATAAATGAAATAAAACACTAAATTGCACAGACTTGAAAGGTTAATCAATTGTACAGGTACACCAAATAATTATTTCCTGTGAGTTTGGGATCAGTCTCAGCTACTAACACACCAAATATTAGCTAAATATCTTGTAAAAAAGGACTGAGGTGTAGCTATCGTTTATGTCTCATAAGATCTGTTGGCTGCTGTGGCCACCTCAAATCGGGATGATTCCAGAACTTAATTTTGTTGTAAACGTCCATTTATTTGTTTCTGTGTGTTTGATTGAAATTTGGTTCAGTGTTTCATGAGATAGTTTGGTAAGAGGCAGACATACTGTAGCTTGACCTGTATAGAGAAAACACAAAACGTTCACCTTTGCCTCTCGGCAGCCGGCTCTCATTTTATTGCAATAAAATTACTCAGAGACCACTGTAGTGAAGAATTTTGATCATGTATTTCTGCACTTTGTTTAACAGACATGGAAAAGTTTTTTATTTTTTTCCCCCACTACAACAGCAATGCATCATTTTTCCATTTTAATTTCTAGCAATTGACATTAACAAAATGCTGATTTCGGAACCACCTCAGAGCTGCCAAGTTGGAAGGAAGTATTAAGTCCTAAATTCCCTGTAAGAGAGACTTGACTTTTCTGTGGGTGACGTCTCAAAGGCCACCCTGCAGATGACACACATTCATCAGCACACAACTGGAACCATGGACCGGCAGAACAGACTTTAACCTTGTCACTGAGCAGAGCAGTAAGGAGGAAAGCGAAAGGGCAGGAGGAAGCCGCACATAATAAGAGAAACAAGCCCGGCAGAGAGAAATCATTAAGTGTTCCCTGGCAGACATCAGCTGCAGTATAAATTATCATCCCTGAGACCGTGGGGAGAACTTGACCGTGACCACACATTCTGGAACAAGGGGGTTGTGGAACAAAAAAAAATGTCACTGACAGTGAAAATACATACACAGAAATCTATGGATGGTCATTTCTTTTGCCCTCGGCAAGGAGCCAGAAAATAAGAGGAAAAAAATATTCTACTCCCTTTGAATTCACATTAAAGTTCAATTTGCAATAAAAAGAAAAATGCTGCTCAGCTGGCTCTCGACATCAGTCAGTCAGAGGACTTTCATCCTTGGTAACTTACATCTGGGATGAAGCCTATCTCATTTAGATGGTTGCTCAGCTCTGGGTCGTGGAAGGCAATCATTTGGGAGAAAACAGTCAAGTACTCTGGAAAAAAGAAAGCAAAAGAACAAAAGTTTAGATTCTACTGAGTAGGCTGCCAACTAAAGTCAAGAAACACGAGAAAACCTCAGCATACATAAAGTTCACTGCCAAATATTTGATATTTATGGATTTTTTTCACATTTTAAAGCCTAATTGTTCCATTTGGACTGCGGCATCTCAGTGAAACCTTAGAAAAATATTTATGTAAATAATGAATGAACCTTAATTCTTCACAATAAATATCAACAAAAGAGCTCGGACCACACGGACATACATCAGCTCTCTCTCCAGTGCATCAAGCCATGGAAACGTATGCTAATAGCCGCGTTTCCAGCAGAGTTCAAGAGGTGTGTGGAGCAGCTGTTTATCAGTCACACAGAAATTGATCGTGACATTTCTCTGCAGGCATTTGCAGTTTCATTTTGTTTCTCTATCTCTAAATGATGTGGCTCAGCTGCAAACCCCATTAAGATGGTCTGAAATGAGGTTTTTTTTTCCTCTCTTCACCTTAGGAGCAACATTGAGCCTAAATTTAATCAACATTAAGCTGACAGCTCGATGCTCGGTGCCAGCCAATGATAATTTGTTTTTTGAACTTAAAGTTCTCAGACCATGTTTATTGGTGATTACTCAACTTGCAGTGGCTGTTGACTACATAAAAGTGAAAGCAGGTGGAGTAGGAAGGTGTTGTCGTGTCAAATGTCAACTGTAATCAAGAAAAAACTGAACACAGCTCCTTAAAAATATTCATATCCCTTGAACTTTGACACTTTGAAGTATCTTACAAGGATTTTATGTGATAAACCAACATAAAAAATAAAGTAATTTGCATTTTCAAACATTTTATAAGTACTAGGGCAGCATGATATTGGATAATCTTGCGATGGTGGCAATATTTGTAAACATTGTGATGATGATATCAGGTATAATATATGTCAGGGGTTTTTTCTTTCATACATTTTTAATCTATACTTCATACTCTATGTGACTTTTAGATTTTTTTGTCAATGTCATTTCTGTCTAGTGTGAGTTTTTTTCTGCCGAAACTCTGCCCTACTGGCTAAATATTGCATTAGCATGAAAAATACAACTTCAAATTCATTTGTTAACAAATTTGAACTCATAGCAGTCCTTTGCAATATGAACATTGCACACACTGATTTTGCAACGATGATATTATCGTAATATATTGTGCAGCCCTAATAAGTACCCAGCTAAATTCAGCTATTGTGGCCTCAGGTTTGTTACAGAACATTAGTAACCAAACATAATCATGAAGGCCAAGGAACACACCAGATAGGACTGGGATAAAGTTGTTAAGAAGTTTAACTGTGGTTAAGTTAAATAATAATATCTCTCTCACATTTCCTGGGATGTTATTCAATCCATCATCCAAAACTGAAAACAATATGGAAGGTTTGGCAACCCTACCAAGACATGAACATCCACCTAAACCAACAAGCAGAGCAGGGAGGGCACTCATCTGAGAAACAACCAAAAATACAACATGGTATTTCTGGAGGAGCTGCAGAGATCCACAGCACAGGTGTTTTTTCTGTTCACAGGACAATAACGCACTCCTCAAATCTGATCTCTCTAGAAGAGTGGCAAGAAGAAAGCTGTGGTTAAAAGAAGTCATGAGAAGTCCTGTTTGCAGTTTTAAACAAGCCATCGAAAACACAGCAAACATGTGAGGAAGGTGGTCAGATGGGAGCAAAACTAAGCTTTTTGGCCTCAATACAAAACACTGAAAGAAAACTAATACTGCACGTTAGAACCGTTTTCACTGACACAAATGGATACACGTCCTTCCACAAGTATGGCATTCAAATTTTGTCTTGGGTTTTGACAAAACTGAATATCTATAAAACTAGTATCTGAATTGTTACACTCCCCAAACTACGCTGACATGTCAATCCGACCAGTCGTGGTTTACCTAAACTACGCCCACACCCAAGAAACTCCCACTTAGTGACTGCGGAGATCCCTACATGTGTTACCCTGAAACACACCGTCCCCACTGTCAAACTGGGTGGTGGCAGTATCATGTTGTGAGGAGGCTTTTCAAGATGGATAGAGCTAAATTTACAAGTCAATCCTGGAAGAAAACGTGTCAGAGGCTACAAAAAACTTGAGACTAGGACGTAGGGTCACCTTCCAGCAGGACAATGACCCAAAACATTCAGTCAGGATGATAATGGAAGGATTTAAAAAAGGCCCACAAAAACACATTTCCTTTAAACATCCAAGTAAATTTTGTTAAGAGGAAGAGCTGTTATAACCTTAAAGGGACAGAGATATTTGTAAAACCCAAATTCAGAACTAGTTTGACGGAACGGTGTACTTCAATTCAAGAAATAAAACCATGGGATAGTTTGGGGAGTGATGCTAAAAATCCAGGATCACTGTGTACGTTTAAGAGAATGATAAATGTTGGGTTGTTAAAGAAATATGAAACTGTATAATGTGTATCTATATAAGTTGTTGTTCTAGAGGGATTAGATGTTCTTGTTTTTTTGTTTTGTTAATAATAAAGATTTTTGTTAAATGAACTTATTCTTGGGAAAAAAGGGGCAGATATTATAAGATCTTTTTTCTTCTCTCTGCTGCCTTTCATTTCAATTTTATTTGTGATTTTGATAAACATACATATTTTTCTCATTTTTCTTTTTATCCGTTTCTTCTTATTGTGCATAAACTTATTTGTTTTGTTTTAATGAAATGAATAAATGAATTTGATTGAATTAAAAAAATTAAATCAAAGCATAATCGTGTATTAGAACTAATTTCGACTGAGAATTTGTATTACTTCCTTTCTACTGCACAAATATGAGCTACTTTGTGTTGATCTACCACATCAAATCCCAGTGAAATACTTTGAAGTTTGAAGCTGAAACGTAACAAAAACACTACAAAGTGGTATGGATTTTTTTTTCCAAGGCACAGTAAGCACGGTTAAAAGACTGCAGCTTTGTGTTCAGAAGTTTCACCTCTAACAAAACATATGCTTTTCCTTCTTTAGCTCACCTTGGATGACGTGAGAGTTGTCCTTCAAGAAGAAGTTGTACAGATACTTGGGAATGAAGGCAGACATGCAGGCATACGCTAAGGCTATATGAAACAAAGACAGGAAAAAGGTAGAGGTAAAAACAATCAGCTCTCAGTGACAATAAGCAGCTTGAAAAACTCAATCCTTACCTTCATTATTGAAATTCAAATACAGGAATGGGGCACAAAGTGAATCCAACCCTGAAATGGACATCAAAGCGCATTTATTTTGAGCTCTAAATAACATTCCTGAGGTTGAAGGTCAGCATTTACAAAATGTTACATGACCACCATCTAGTGCTCAGTTCTGCATATTACAGAAACAGGAAATAAAAGACGAGCGTGGAGCGAGGCAGTAAAAGAGAGTGATGGGGACTGACTGACCCTGCCAATAAACCAGGTCGAGGTGGGAGACCACCCAGGCTTTCAGCACCCGTCTGAACTTAATGTGGCCCTCAGGAGATGACAGCAGCTCATCGTATTGGTGGCAGCGTGGGATATCCACTTCAATCTGTGCACATAAAAACCCTCATTATAATGACGTGAAGCTGAAGACCATAAACGCCACAGCTGGGTTTATAAACTGATGTCTACCTGTCTGTCAGTTGGAATGGGAGTGTCCTTGTCTATGCTGTCATACTTGGCTTGAATGTCACCCTGGGAAAATAATAAATAGATATAGTTACTTTTTTTCCCCCTTCGCAACAAAGAAACTCTTTTTTTTAATACCTCAATGCCCAGCAGTGCTGCCCACGCCAGCCCTCTAACAAGAGGAGGGATATCCACTCTAGCCTCTTTCCACACAAGGTTCTTCTTGTAAGGGTAGGCCTAAAACCAAACCGCAAATCAAGGATATATTATTCAAACACATTGTGACAGACCTATTTCATTTATTTCTTTTACAAATACGGGGAAAGCTGAAACAATCTCCGGGCTCTCGTGTGTTTTCCTCCACGTGTCGGTGCGCGACTTTAAGCAGCCCGATACACACGAATCTGTACGCCTCCCTGACCTTGAGCAGCCTGTCAAAGAGGATGATGCGGATGAGCTGGTATTCTGTGTCCCTCTCGCGAATGATGAGTGGCAGCGTGACGGTGGCCGACAGCTCGTTGCTGCTGTTGGACTGCGGCAAACTTGACTGTCTGGAGGAGGGAAAAGAAGCAAGAGAGAGAGTGACGTTACCCGTGCCAAGAAACTGACAGGGTGATGGGGAAAAACAGTGACAGGGAAGAAGGCATGACGGCAGATAGTTCAGGAGGGAGAGGGTTTACTCGTCTTCCAGTAGAGGATAATAAGCTTCTCCAGCGACATCCTTCAGTCTCTAAGAAAAAAAGAAAAAGAAAAAAAAAAACATATTCTTGAGTTTCTACACTCTGTATAGAGTTTTGCAATTAGGCAGAGCAACAGGCACTATGCATTAACATTAGGCAACAGATGGGAGTTAGGGCTGGGCGGTATGAACTCAAATTCATATCACGGTATAAATTGAATCCCTTCACAGTAGCGGTATATATCGCGGTAGAAAACTATCATAAAAAGTAAAGATAATGTTATTTTTAGAGCTTTTTTTTTTTCAGAAAAGTGTAATCTTAATCAAACCCAACATTTTTGCTTTAATATCAGCCTGCCAAACAATGAGCTTCCACCTGTTGAACTTAACAGCTGCTGCACACTCATCTTCATCATCAGAGCAGAAGCACATGTTACATTAGCAAGATGGATTTATGACTGAACGAATGTCCATGACTTTTTTTATCATCTCTGTGGGTAACAATACATAAAAAACAAGATTTTCTCCGACAACTTGGGTGTGAAAAAACTACGGTTGCTAAAGCTTCGCTCTGCACGACGTGCAGCAGGAGAGTCGGGGGTGGGGGTGATCCCGATGTAACTTTTCTACAGCGGGAGGAGGAAATTTTGAGGATTTATTCTCTCTTTGCATGTTTTAAAACACTATATTTCTTCATTTACTTTCAGAAAATTTCAAACTCCTCCTCCTCAGTTGTCTCTGCACTCGCAGCCCTGTTGACACAGGTGCGATGACGTAACTGACGATATGATGGTAGAGGGCAAATTTCTACCGTAGGCCAACTTCATACCGTTTCTACCATCCACTGCATATACCGCGCAGCTAGGGGTGTAAGAAAATATCGACACACTGAAATATCGCGATATTTCATTTCCCGATACTGTATCGATATTCTAAGGCCCTGTATCGATTTTTTATTAAGGTTTAAAATGTCAACTTTCCTGCCAGCCGTTCATTTATATGTTGTAGTTCAGCCTCTGACCACTAGTTGGCAGCAGTGAGCCAGCCATTTGGCTACTCTACCTCTTGAGGTAGAGGCTGTTGTTAAGTGTTGGGTGACCATATTGTAAATTAATATTAAACACTAAAAGCTGCAAAAATATATTTTCAAACTATTTATTGGCAAATTTAGTCTAATAATTGAAAACATGGATGAAATAAGAAATATGAAACAAATAAAATAAAATACATACAAAGCAGAACACAGCTAAATGTATCAAAAGTATGTCTATGTAATATTCAAATTTTCTAAGACAATGAATTTTGTTTTTTCTTTTTTTTTCCCCAGTAAGAGGTTTTTATTTAATAGAATATTTGGACAAAAAAATTGCAATGTATCGCCTTGCTTACATTATCGCAATATATTGGGATATATCGTATCGTGACCCCTCTGTTATGATATGTATCGTATCGCCAAATTCTTGCCAATACACAGCCCTACGCACAGCCCTAATGGGAGTGATACACTCTTTACTGTAGTTAAGGCCCTGATCAGTTCATCTATCTTCCAGTTCATCCTACTATCACACATGAATAAGATGCTTCGATACTTGAACTCCTCTGCCAGAGGCAAGGACTCAAACACCTCCCCAGCCTGAAGGGGGCACCTTTTCTCCAGTTGAAAACCACTGCCTCAGATTTAGAGAAGCTGACTTTCTTCTCAGCCACTTCACACTCAGCTGTGAAGCACCCCAGAGCATGCTGAAGATCATGGCCCAAAGATGTGAACAGAATCACATCATCTGCAAAAAGCAGAGAAGAGACCCTACAGGTCCCAAACCTCGACATGTCTGAGCTTTCAGATCCTGTCCATAAACACCACAAGGATGATCAGAGATACAAGACAGCCTTGGTGGAGTTCAGCCTGCCCTGGAAACAAGTTCACCCTCATGCTGTGGACAAAGCTCTCGCTTTAGGCGTACAGAGACCACACAGCCTTTAAAACCGACCTCGTATTCCCCTAGCACCTCCCGCAGAATTACTTTTACAACTTTTCCATTTGAGAATGTAAGTTTTTTTACACAGTATGCATCATAAATTGTCTTACGTTTCGGAGCTGACACAGAGATAGGGTCACTGTGGTGTCGTCAAGCAAGAAACTCCGATCCCTGCACTGACCAAACGACTCCCCATCCTCCAAGACAAAACTAGAAATAAAACAAAGATGGATGTGGACAGTGCTAGTTTTACACAAAAAAAAGGGAGGTATTGTTTGTGCGTGTATGCAAATGTGTGTGTGACCAACTTGGGCAACGTGCAGATCGGAGATTTGGACTGTATGATTTCTTTGTTGGTAAGCTCCTTCTCCAGATCTCCACCCGCGAGACACCACAAATGGTAAACTTCATCTATGCCTCGCTCTGACAAGTAGTCTTCATCATCATCTGAAACCACAGAGAAAACGTAGGAAGTCATTTCCCAGCAGGCACAGGTGTTTCTACAGCAGGACATCAGAGAATGATTTAGATATGCAACATTAACGTCGTGCCTGGATGAGACAAGTTTTAGATACTATGGCCAATAACCCATATATGGATTTTAATGAAACTCTCAGAAAATAACCTCTAGGTATATATCTATAACTCATTAACTTTTAAAATCAATATAATTCAAGAAAGCCACCACAGCTAATTAACCTCAGCTAACAGACTGTGTAATATTACATAAAATTGTATGTCATTTAAAAGGTTTGACCAAGAAGTCTATAATCCTGTTCCTTCTTATCATAACATGATTTAAGTTAACACTCAGTAAAAAATGTGATGGGTCATTTGGTCTTTAAGTGTATTTGAAGCAGACCTTTACAAAGATCATTGATGTCATCAGGGAGCTCCAGGTGTGCACAGCGCAGGGAAGAGGAGAACAGCTTGACCGGCTTCTGGAAAGGTGGATAGTGGCAGGAAATGTCGTTAAACACAAGGTCTCCCAGTAGATCTGCAGGGGTTGGCCTGAAGGACATAAAAAGGGTAACTGTGAGAAAAAAAATAGCACTAACCAGGCTTTAGACTCTGTCAGTTTTGTCACCATTTATTAGTGTTGACCAAAGATTTTACATCTATTTAGTTAGAAAATATATATATTTTTATATTTATACCCTGCACAATGAAAACTATTAAAATGTGCCACACAGGAAAACAAGTCATTTAACAGAAACCTTTTACCTTTTAGATGGAAGAAAGGTCAAACATTTCCTTAATAACTCCAAAACGTTCTCAGGCAACTCCTGTACATAGATAAGACATAGATATAGACATTGATGTTGAATTTACAAGAAAACTCCCTTTAAGCACACAGACTTTAACATTTATTTTAGAAACAATGGTGCTTAATATTACCAGGTATTCACCATAAAGCTGTTTGGGAACCATCTATTTTCATAGCTTCAATCAGCATATTCTTACATAAAATTATTGAATGTGGAACTTTTTTTAAAAACTTTTTTAATTTTTCACTTTTTTTTACAGAGTTCAAGCAACAAAAAACAGGGAAAAATCCAACAAATAAAAACAAATCTGAAAAAAAAGCTATATTTACAATGAAATGCATATCAACCAAAGCTCACTGATTTCATGCTATCAGTGAGCTCTTGGAGTATATGTTAAGGATAATGCTCACCTACTACCAAACCAAAATTTATCTGAATATCTGCAAAACTGACTGAGTTATGCCTATTCTTATGTTTCCCTAAGTCAACTAGTTGAAGTGGTCAACTTGTATTTGATTGCCTCCAATAATTTTGGAATTTATGAGATTTTTTGATAAAAGACAAAGCAGAGGCAGCTACATCATTGCCCATCACCACTATCAAGTTAGACTTGGTTTTTAAGTCAATATACATGATAATGGATATATACATGATTCCACCAATAATTACCAAAAATTATATTTAAAAAAATCACTTCTTGTCTTGGTGTTAATGTTGTTTTTTACCTTAATGGTTTCCAAACAACCATGTTCCTCAGCGAGGACTGTAACGATGTCATCCATACAGCCTGATAATAAAGACAAAACTCATAGCTTCAACCCAACTAAACTCCAGAGAATTATCATTTGCATATAGGATCATTGGAAACTCTTCACTCACCCAAAGTCAAAATGAATTTCAGTTTCTCGCTTATTTCTATATTCTGCAGGAGTCGTCTCCCCTGCAGTGGATTCACAAAAGTACGATTTAAAAATGGATTCTGATCACACGGCAGGATTTCAGGCAAATCCCCGATAGTTTGAATAAATGTATGAGGACATTTATGGGGGATTCTTACAGCACACAATTCAAAGAGCAAGATTCCCAGAGACCAGACGTCAGTCTTCGGTCCTGAGGGCAGAGGAGCTTCATCGTGTGATGGATCGCTTGGGTGAAAGGAGCCCAGGGCGATCACCTCTGGAGCAAGGTATGATGGGTAGCTGAGGTCAAAACGACAAGAACAGAAAGAGACATCACCTGTCAGCCTGTAAATAACGCTTCTTAGAGTTTGGCTGGAATAAGATCAAAGTGATACAAGTGAACCTCTGACCACTGAGGAGCTGCTAACTGTGATAAATAACTAGAAGACAAACCTACCCAATGGGAAAATCGACATCTGCCCCATGATTCGTCATGTGATAAAGGCCAAACTTTGCCAGCTTGACGTGTCCCTTCAAAGACAAAATCCTTCTTAGAGTGACAGTTCATACATTTATAGGAGTATTTATTTTTGCTTTGATAACTTCCAATACCACATAGACAGATGGAAAGATTTACAAAAATGATTAAAATAACTAATTCAACTTTTCCAAATCATGTAAGATCTGCATTCAAACAAACATGATAGGAAGACATTACATAATGTTTGAAATGTAATTATATGGTTGTGATTAGGGCTGCACCGATTCGTTGAAATAATCGATGACGTCGATAATGTAAATTTGTCGACGCAGATTTTTTATTATCGATTCGCTGTATTACATAATCACCACGTGAATGTTCATGCAATTCCATTTTGTTATCTAAATGCATCATTGCTACCGTATTGGCATAAGAGTGGTGAGTTTTCCATGCTTGTCCTGAACGCACCATCGCACAAGAGCGTAATGACGTCAGCAGCTGCTGCTTCAGTTCAGTCTGAAGCTTGAAAACAAGCCTCGCAGCTCCTGGAGTAAAATTTACCAAACAGACTGCCTCTGAATTATCTGGTGGATTAATTATCTTGTGAACATGATGTTCGCTTGCCTAAAGTAAATAAAGTACCGCCACTTTCTTTATTTCATCCACCGTTAAACAGTCGCATTCCCAGTTTTCCCAGCGTCTCAAACAACAGAGGAGCTTCCCGACACACGTCTGACCTAAAGAGCACAAGCAGCCAACAAGTGTTGGACGTGTTCTGGATG